CCCCAAAACCCCAAAACCCCAAAACCCCAAAACCCCAAAACCCCTTAATATTATAAAGCATTGAATAGTGAATTATAACTTGAAAATAGTTAACTCTTATCAAAATGCTCTTGATATTTCTTCTATTCTTAAACTATAGCTTTCTTTCATAATTTCTAATCCCTCTTCAAATTAATATTTGTTACCTCTGTATTCGTAATAAATCATAACTCTGTATGATGAAATCTTGGACAGTTATAACCAAATTAATTGAAGAGGAAGACTTAAAAGTTTAGTTGAAAACAAAGAAATTATTTAAAAATCGGTCTAAATTTTGTTATTAAAGTTTGTCATGAAATAACCACGATCAATAAATTCCTTTAGGATATCAATAATATGGCAAACGGAAAATAAGAAGTTCACAAGTTTGCAAAAAATGAGCTTTCGAAAATATTCATCAAAATAGCACAGATATGATTAAAACAGGGATAAATTCTTGCTCATAATCTCCTTGATTTATCATCTATAATTCTGCAATTCCTAACTATCAAAGGTTACTAAACCAGTAATCTTACATAGGTAACCACAATAAGGAATATAGGACTTCCTTAATAAGGGAAACGTATTTTCAGAACCTGCATTCTAACTTTTGGTCAGAATTTTTCTAAAGGTAAATTTAACAAGGATTCTTATCAGTCAATAGTAATCTTGCTGGTCGAGAACCCTTAGTGGCTATAATATTCTTCTTTTTATCCTTGATTTTAATACAATTTCTAGCAAGCCAGATACTTGTATGGTAGCATGTAGAAATGTTTGCATATCTCCAATACTTTCTATCTAAAGTGCTGCTATTTATCATCTATCATGAGTAAACTGCCTTGAATCTTGCTGATTGAGCGCTCTATCTTACAGCAGACAGGATAGGTATAGTTTGCTCAAGTAAGATACATTCGAAATACTGATTCATTGTTTTATTACATTTAATATCCCTTACATAATTAGTCTTAAAATATGGTTAGCCTCTGATTTGTATCAGAGTAAGACAGAAATAATATATTAGGGCTTAAACCTTATTTAGCTCCAAGCTAAGACAGAAAAAGTAATAATGAAGCTCTTAAAATTTAAGTCGACACAATTTTCAGCAAAATTTGAATATGATGGGGTTTTGGGGTTTTGGGGTTTTGGGGTTTTGGGGTTTTGGGG